AGCGGAGAGCAACGCGACGCGAGCACTCTCATCCAAGTACGCGGAAGATTGCGAGTCGCGTGTATCTACGCGATTGTTATCGCGTCGAATGGATTCAATGAAGGCGCGTTAATGCAATTAATTGCACAACTATCGGCCAGCGGAAAGTTACTTGAAGAGTAGCGTCGCTCGCAGCGCAGTCATGTTTTAATTTTGGATCGAAGGTCTCCGCGCGAGAGACGTGTGTTAAGGTGAGAGATGTGTGTTAAGGTAAAAGAGACGGCGCGCGGCGACGTCGTTAGCCGGCGTTTTCCAAGAGTCTAGTTTCAGCAAGTTACGCTTGATAAGAGGGCAGCCCGTTCAAGGCGACGAGAAGGAAGAAGGATAAATCTTGGCCGCACGTGCGAGCGTAATCTCAAGGCGAAAATCAATCAAGGCGAAGATTCAGGCGAAGCGTCAACGCGCGAGCCGCTCTTCGGTTGATATCGTGCCGCGCATTTGCCGTGCGAAGCGCGATTTCCACTACACTATTTTTGTAAGATTCTTATGCTGACGTCGCTCTCTTTCTCGCGCTCGCGCGCGCGCGCGAACGCCGACTGCAAATCCCGTGAGAATTCGACGTTTGTGGACACAAACGGCTCGAGTTTTGGCGAGCCTAAGCGAATCGGCCATTCGCCGGAGACGGATGGTAAACTGAAGCGAACGCGTTACATTCGTGATCCGCGAACGCGCGGCGAAAACGATCCCGCCTGCTGCACGAAGCGAATCCGCGCGCGCGCCCCGGCGAATCAATTTCCGTCGCGAGCGCGATACGTCGCGTAGCCGATTATTCCCGTAAAATCGTACAAACACGCAGCGTGCGCCTGCAGCGTGGAGGGACGACGAGCGGCAACGTGGAATGTTTCGTAATCGGATCTCGTAATTGACGTGGCTAATGAAATTGGAATTATGTTTATCGTTTATTGTTGGGAGAGAACGAGCGGGGAAACATTCACTCTCTCGCGAGCTCGCTCACATTGGACTTTGTAGCCGATTCGAAAAAGTCAACACCGCAGGCCACTAATAATTCTCAGGTCGTTCACACGACAAACCTGCGATATCGGTCATCTTTTTCAAAATAACACCGTCGCGTTATAGCGCATCTTGAAATTTCCCGAAGCCGGGCGGAGTTTTGTCATTCGTCAAAATCGAGCTCGAGTGTTTGCCTTGGAAACCGCCGCCGGTGGAAGCCGGATAACGATAAACCGGCACTCGACGGACTCGAGATTAAAGGTTCTACGCCGAAACACGCACAAGCGCCGTGTATCGAATCGGACGAGTAATAATCTTGCCGTTCAAAGTTTCACCTGTGTGCTCCAAAGATATATCCTCGCGTTGGCAATCTCTCGGCTCGATCTGTTTGCTGATGATCTTAATATCTCGCAAATTATATATATGTATTCGTTAATAGGCGAATGAGCGCGTTGCCTCTTGAAAGCAATAGTTAGGGAAATGATACGTAATAGACGCTAAGCGTCACGATAATGGCGATAATCAAGTCAGATCTACGCGCGCGCGCGCGCGCGCGCGCACGCACGCACGCACGCACGCACGCACGCACGCACGCACGCACGCACATACCATACACACACACACACACACACACACACACACACACACACACACGCTGATAAACGAGGAGAACAGCCGGCGATCGTTCATCCATCTCGACACTTTGTTCCAACTCATTTTGCAGAACTATCCTACGAAGAGAGAGAGAGAGAAGGAAGAAAAAAAAACGTTGACCCAAATATGTTGACGCTTGTATATCACTCGATTTCCATAAAACCTTCATCGCTAAGGCTTAATACGTCTCGCGTCTTGAATAATCTGTTACGGTTTTGCAGTAAATTAATCTTTCTCCTCTCTCTCTCTCTCTCTCTCTCTCTCTCTCTCTCTCTGTCTGTCTTTCGCTGCCGGCAAAAGATACGGAGAGTCGCAGAAAGAAAAGAGAGCGCCGCGTTTTCGCCAGGTATGGCGGGGATGCGTGCATACTCCGCACCGGCCCGGGTACTCAGATATCGTTTGTCCGAATGCGGTTCCCCTTATTTGGACAGGTCGCACTGTACCGGACGAATAAATATGCTCAAATGGGTCAGACGTCGGTTTTACATGCGAGCGGCGCGAAAATTCAACTTCGACTCGAAAATGCAGCTTGCGCTTTACGACGTGTCGGGCCGGGCCGGGCCGGCTCGAGGCGATCTCTCCTCGCCGAAAAGTTTCTTTCTCGCGAGCCGGCGAGAGCCGATGAGAGAGTGACGGATAGATACCGCGCGTCTCTCTGCATTTGCATACGCAATTTGTCGCAATCGTACAACGTAAACGCGCGCGCGCGCGCGCGCGTGTGTATTTCTTTTTCTCTCCCTTCCTTTTATCACTCAACTCGCTCGCGTTCTCTTCTACCGTTTCTCTCGCACGTCTCGTATCGGAGATTGGTGCAAAGGTGAGGTGCAAAGTCTCCTTGCCGAGAGAGAGAGAGAGAGAGAGAGAGAGAGAGAGAGAGAGAGAGAGAGAGAGCGCTCGTTAATGCGTTAATCATCGAGCGAACATCCGAGTCGAGTTGAAGTCTATATCAAATTTCGTCGATCGCGCGCGTATCGTACGTTCGCGACGGCATTACGACGCGTTATTACGGCGCGATTATAGCCGCGGAGAGCCGCGCAATAACTCAGCCGAGAGTCTACGTGTCTGTCTTACAATACATTAATCGGTTAACCCACTGCGGCTTCGTGACTGATTAATTAGACTTTGAACTTTAAGTAACCGTGAGCGCAGAACGGGCAGCGCGGCTATCAGCGGCAGGTACGAGGCGGTCTGACCTCTGAAGTCGACGACCTGCGGAGACGCAGGTGTATCGCGGCGAACGGCTCGATCCCGAATCGAAGTGCCGCCGAGGAAAATTCATCGTGGGAAACGTCGGCATCGCGCGGAACGCGAAGGAACTGAGGAACGATAGACGGCGAAGGAAATGATGAGAGAGTCTCACGGAAAGGGACGACACGAATATGTGTGTCTTGGTCGAATGACTCGCAGGATAGCGGAAAAGCGAATACTATAATTCGCGGCAAATGAAAGCATCATCCGCGCCGAGAGAATTAATCGCTCGGTCGAGTAATTAATTCGATCACGATTTTTAGCAAGCTCCTCTCTTCTAGCAAGAAAAGCGCACGCTGACAATTTCGTTCTTTTGTGCTCCATCGCGGTGCCTCCGTTGGTCGCGCGACACGCGCGACCTCGATTGGCTAATTATTACACGAAATATTAATTACTACACCGATACGGCCGCGCCAAAGAGCGCGGCGCATTTTCTTCGTGATTTCATAATACTTCGTTAGCGGCGCGCGAATATCGCGCGCGTGTATCGGTGAATTAAGAGACGCTCGCGATCGCGTCAAAGCGTTTGCGTAATCACGGCGCTTCATTAAGAGCCTACGAACACTGGCGCGTCGTGGGATGAATGCAGCCGCGATTAAGATTAATTGGGTTTACACGTGATTTTGCGTCGCGCATCGTCGGTATATATCGATGACCGTCCGAAAACTCCGACTCGTCCGCCCGCGCGCACGTCTGACCAAATGACCCCGAGGACTCGATAAAGGCGACACATCGCTGCAAAGTCATCGATCGGCACAATTCATGAATTATGATGCAAGCGGCCGATTATTATCACCGACAGCCCGTTATTCTTTCGCGCGCGCGCGCGCGCTGCACGTATGTCCCTCGCGTGAGCGCCGCCGACGTCGCCGACGCCGCCGACGCCGCCCGCCGGAGTGTAATCTGCCCGAGCGCATCCGGCAGCGAGCGTATTCGCGCGCGTCAGCGCATTTTCGCGCGCGCGGAATAATATTTTCGATCGCGCCGGTAAATCGCTCGTAAGCGAGCGAGCGAGCGAGCGAGCACTTTGGCCGTCGGCAATCGAAAAAACGCACATACGCAATATCCTTCGGACTCGCGTACACGTCACGTACGCGTCGGTTATCTCTCGTCGCTTTATCTCACTTTTACGAACAGATCGTAAAGCGATAGTGCAATTCTCTAAGATATCGCTCACGGTTAAACAAACAGATTTTGTAAAAGAAACACCCGCCTGTATCTGCAATGCCGTGTGCGTCTAGCAGCGAACGACCAAGCTCGCGAGTTCCCCGAGAGCGCGAGTCGCCGGAGCATTCGTGTTCTTCCTTCCTCCTAGGCTTACGATGCCGATCGAGCGAATCATCGTCGGCGACGATGATTCCCCCCTCGAAAGCTCAAGAGTCGGCGTGAGCAGCGTGAGCAGCGAGACATCCCATACGTGCGCGAACGCTAAGACCTGACACGAACGAGCGAACGAGCGAACGAGCCTCAGATTCCTTCGAGAAACATATCCGTGTTTATCGAGACGTCGTTCTCTCGCGTTACCGCAGAGCTGTACTTTCGATCAAGCTAGAGGAGATGGTCGCGAGCAGCGAGAGCTACGGGGCTCTCTCTCTCTCTCTCTCTCTCTTTCTCAGTTGGGCCGAAGGGTGGGAACCGAGAAGAAGGACCAGAGAACCTTGACGAATCCACCTGCTAAAGCCCAAGCAACGAGCGAGCACACTCCCGCAGGAGAAACGGAGGCGAGCTGACGCCAAGAGCCTCCTTCAAACGACGCGATACGCCGCGTCGCGCTGCGCCGCGACGTCTGCGCGACGACCAGCCGCGCTTGTTCACGCCGCCGCCTCCCACCACCCGGTAGTCGGAATAGGACCCCTATGGGGGGCCCATGGTGGGGGATGGACCCCACCAGTACCCCTAAGGCGAGAGGCCTCGTGGTCAGTGGCCAACGAGACACGAGTACGAGGGGTCCGCCTTCGCACCCCCAGCGCGGGTGTCCACCACCCCGGACATGCTCGGAACCCACGCTCTGTCCCCCACCGACTGCTCCCCGATCATCACCGAGCTGTCCCCCACCCTCCGACAACGTCCTCGCTCCTCTCTCTCTCTCTCTTTCTCTCTCTCTCTCTCTGTCCATTCGGACACCTCCTTCCCTCGTGCCAAGGGTCTACCGCGGGGCTGCCGCCTGATGAGTCACTATATAAGACAGGCAAGGACAAGAAGGTGTATGTTAGTACACACTGAATTCTCCCGTAGCTCGCACGGGTTTACAACGTGGCGAGCGGCGGCAAATTTGGCTGCGGCGGTGACCGACTTTTCTCTCTTTCTCTCTCTCTCTCTCTCTCTTTCTTTCTCTCTCCCTCTCCCTCTCTCTCTCTTTCTCCTTCTTTCTCTCTCTCTCTCTCTCTCTCTCTCTGTACCTATCTCTTCTTCTCCCTCCCTTATTCTCTTTCTCACTCTGCCTCACTCCCTCGTCGCTCCTTATGCCCCCTCCTACACACGCACACAGTCGTTTCTTCCTCTCTCATCCTTTCTGTTCTCCCTCCCGCCTCGTCTATTCGTCATCCAAACGTCACTCGTTGTACGTCAGGTAAATCTTCAAATCTTCTGGTGCTCGCTTAGTGATCTCTTTGGTTCTTGGTGTGTCCCTCGTCGCTCATTTCACTCGAAGCATCGGGAGCAGCGGGATCAGATAGAGAGGCACGGAGAGCCTGGAGAATCGTTATCCGCGCGCACAGCCGACGAGAGAGAGAGAGAGAGAGAGAGAGAGAAAGAGAGAGGAGACTAAACTGTGTTTCTTCGCTTCTTTTTGAGATTTTTTTCCTTTTATCGGGAGATTAAGAGAGAAGCGCAACGATAGAGACTTCTCGCGTGGTACCTATATATACAGACGCGTCAAGTGGTAATCGCGAGCCGACAGACACTCGAAGACGCCGCAAGCACTTAGACGCTATATCGAATCGCACGATCGACCGGTAGTCCGCGATCGGTTCGAGATGGTGGTGGAACGCGCTATTCAGAGGATCATGGATGATACGGAAGCTTACAGCCTGCTGGTGTTCATCGTCGTTGTTCTCCTGGCAGTGATATCGTTTCGGTGGATCCAGGAAAATTACTCCTTACCGCCCGGTCCGTACGGATTGCCGATTTTTGGTTACTACCTATTCATGAAGAACGAGATACATCGGCAGTACTACGAGATGATGAAGAAGTACGGCCGGATATTTAGCATCAACTTGGGCAGTCAACGGGTCGTCGTTATCAGCGACCCTCGCTTAATACGCGAGGCGTTTCGACGCGAAGAATTCACCGGCAGACCGCACAGCGAATTCAACAGCATCCTCAGCGGATATGGTGAGTGTTGGGAGCGGTCGCAGCGGAGATTCCGATAATGCGCTTTATCGCGCGCGACTTTAGCACGTTCTCGTATCGCCATCCCCAGCGGGAGGGGAGAGGGTTAAAGCACTCCGCGACTCTGTTCTTTTTCGTCTTTCGCGCGACTCCACGCGACACTCCCGGCCGCCGGACAATTCTTCACTCGCGCGGTCGCGGGATCATCGCCGATCCCCGCCGGCGGCGATAGCAGTTTCTTCCAGTTCGAGGACGCGGTCGCCGCGCGTCCAAGTCCGATGGCGAATTTTTCGGACGCGACGCAGCGACGTGAAGAAGCGCTTCCCCGCCCGGAGGCTTCTTCGTCTTCTTCCGCGATTGCTTCTCACCTCTCTCACCTCTCGCCGAAAGCGTTGCATTTCCGACCGGTCACGGCTGGATCACGTTTCCACGGTTGCTTCTCGGTCAATGCTAACTTGTGCACCGGGCTGTCGCAATCGATCGTCCGCGGCCAGCGATCGGTAGAGCGCGGTAACGTGGAAACGAAACGAGTCCGCGGATGACGCGCGGGCGACGCAACGTACACAAGTTGAGTGCTCGCAGTTCAACATCGGCTCCTCCTTGCTGTTGCAGGCATTATCAATTCCGAGGGTTCCCTGTGGAAGGACCAAAGAAGATTCCTCCACGACAAGCTGAGGAACTTTGGAATGTCGCATATGGGCGGCGCCAAGAAACTCATGGAGATCAGGATCCAGGTAAGTGCCGAGTGTTCGACCGGTGCGATCTTTCTTTCTCTCTTCTTCTCTGTCGGCAGAGTTCTGCTGCACGAAACGCGTGTCTCAAAGTTTCACAGCACTTTCTCACGCTCGAGAGAATCCTCGAAGATTCCGCTCGCGACAACAGAATTAGAGCTCTTCGAGCTCTCGATCGAGCGCGCGATAGTTGAGAATTCTCCTCGTCACTGATAAGGAGAGAAGAAAGAGAGGTCTCTTCACGCGTTGCCGGGGCGATTCGTCGCGCCAGCGCGAGCAGGAGTCCCAGATCGCGAAATAAACGAGACGGTGTTGTTTGAATTTAGCACGAGATCGAGGGCTTCATTCGGGGGTTGGAGCTGCGACAAGGCGCGCCTACGGATTTCTCAGCCGCGCTCAGCATGACGGTCAGCAACGTCATCTGCACGGTCATAATGGGGATGCGCTTCCACCACGGTGACCCGCAGTTCAAGAGGTTCATGGACCTCATCGAGGAGGGCTTCAAGCTCTTCGGCAAGCTCTCGGCGGTCAACTATATACCGGTGATGCGGTACATGCCGTTCGTGCAGGGAGTCCGGAACAAGATCGCGCAGAACCGGAAGGAAATGGCCGATTTCTTCCAACGCATCATCGAGGAGCACAAGGTCACCTTCAACAAAGACAACATCCGCGATCTCGTGGACAGCTACCTGCTCGAGATCGTGCGAGCCAAGAAGGAAGAACGAGAGCTCTTCCAAGGAAAGGATTACGGTGAGTGAGAAGAGCGACATTCGGTCCCGATTTCTCCGAGAGAGTGGACGCCTTTGCTTTTTTCTCAGCGTATTTTGCAAATATCATCAACGATCGCGCGAATAATGAAATAGTAATGATGATGAATAATCAAGTCGGCGTTCACTCGACGTGTTGCGACGAACCGTCGCGAGTCCTCGCCATCATCACCTCCGTCATTGAACGCGTTACCCTTTTCTCTTCCGCAGATCGTCAGATACAGCAAATTTTGGGCGACCTCTTCTCCGCCGGCATGGAGACAATCAAGACTACCGTGGAGTGGGCGGTGATCTTAATGCTGCACAACCCGAGAGCGGCGAAAGCGGTGCAGGAGGAGCTGGACCAGGTGGTCGGCAGAACAAAGATGCCCTCTTTGGACGATCAACCTTACTTGCCGATTACCGAGGCGACGATCTACGAAATTATGCGTAGATCCAGTATTGTACCGCTCGGCACTACGCACGCCACATTACGGTAAATCGGCTTTATCAATATTGATTCTGCCGTGTCCCCGCGGTAAAACTTTCGACGCGAGAATCGTTTTCATCATCAATTCCGATCGGGCCTGTCCTACATGAGCGCCCTTTCCCTTTCCCTTTCTCTACGTGAGCCAAGAGCGGATTTCACAACGAATCCTCCGACCTTCCTTCTCGCGAGGGGCTTCCCCCGCGTCACCGACATGTAGGAACCTCGCACCACGCCATCGTTTTTCGACGATTATTCGGCGAGCAAAAGTGAAAGCAAAGGTCCCCCCTCTCCTGCTGCTTTTCAGCCGAGAGTCGCCTCGTCTTTGGGTCCCGAGTACGCACGACAGGTCAACGACCCCCCCGTCCCCCATACAGACAAAGAAATTCTTTTTCAAATGGACGGGTGTATCGGATCGCGACATATCGAGAACGCTCATTAGGATTGTGTGCATGAAAGCAGAGACCGCTCCGTTAGAAACGCGCGGCACAGCGGCGGTACGATTTCATATTTCTTCGCGGAGAACGCGGCCAGAAAGAGCGTGACGAGCGCGTGTAAAAAGTCGCGTTTAGTATTTGACTTTTCACCGGCGGATTGATATCCGCCGTGTTGGCCGAGCGATGCCGCGATAAACGAGCCCTTGTCTCTCTCTCTCTCTCTCTCTCTCTCTCTCTCTCTCTCTCTCTCTCTCTCTCTCTCTCTCTCTCTCTCTCTCTCTGCTCAGCCAGAAGATGATCCTCGTGACCGAGAATCGGGCCGATTTGAAACTCGCGCGTCGCCGTCTCGCTTTCTCGATCAATCGTTATTATCCGTCGCGATGAGTCGCAACATTCGTCGCATCGCAAGCTCAGCATCGGCCTAATCAGCCACCTCCTCGTTTTGTGTTACAGGGACGTGACGCTAGGCGGCTATCATATACCGGCTGGCTCGCAAGTGGTGCCACTATTATACGCAGTCCACATGAACCCAGAGCTGTGGGACGAGCCGGAGGCTTTCCGCCCGGAACGCTTCCTCACAGCCGAGGGTAAAGTTCACAAGCCAGAATGCTTTATGCCGTTCGGAGTCGGCCGGCGTATGTGTCTGGGAGATGTTTTGGCACGCATGGAGATCTTTCTATTCTTTAGCTCGCTAATGCACAGTTTCGACATGAGGCTGCCTGAAGGCGCTTCGCTGCCCAATCTCCGCGGCAACGTTGGGGTTACAATCACACCAGATCCTTTTAAGGTTTGTATGATCAAAAGAAATTTTGACATACCAGAGTGTGACGCCAACGACATCGCCGTCAGTGGGCCGTTGCGTAACATTGGTAGCCACTAGGCTATCAATGTTTCCAAGTTCGCTTCCATCCTCGCTTCCAGAGCACGGAATAAAAGTTCCTACGGCCGGAGGACGATTAAATATTAAATATTAAAATTCGTGAGTTGACTTTTGAGCGCCCTAATCAGATCCACTGTTTGCCACCCTCATTATATCCAGCAGAGTTTTTTGGTAGTAATTTAATTATCAAAGATCAAATGTAATTCGCAAATTGAATTCGATGCACCCTCTGCTGGATAATTTTTCCTGGAAATTTTGAGAGATGGGGAGAGAGAGAGAGAGAGAGAGAGAGAGAGAGGGCGAGAGAGAGAGAGAGAGAGAGAGAGAAAGAGAGAAAGAGAGAGAGAGAGAGAGAGAGAAGGAGAGAGGGAGTATTTTTGTGAAAATTCTTTGTTTAGCCGTCAAGGCAAACCTTCTTTACACATAGATTAATCCTCCTTCTCCTCCTCTCATTGGCTACGGTAAATACAGTAGATCGTTTCAATATCCGAAGTAGTTTTACATGTGAAAGGAGTTAATGATCCTCCTAAAAAAGAAATTAAAAATTATTGAAAAAATTTTGTTGCTAGAATAAGATGACATAAGCTAAGATTAAGGCGTTAAGAATGAGATTTTCGTTTGTGTTCGTTGCTTGATGTGCCCTTGCCACAATTTTGGTGCGACGAGATAACACAAAAAATGCCATTTCCAATCATTCGCCGATCCCATTGTCCTATTACTAACGACAATGTTCCTCGCTAATTTTAACAATTTTAACATCACATTTACATTTTAAAGGACACACACACACACACACACACACATACATATATATCCATTACCTCACTCACGTCCATTTTTAAATTCACGGGCACGACCTCGCCATACCAGAAGGGTGGCTTCCTTTCGCTGTACCATCGCAGGATTTTCGAAGAAAAATTTTAAGAAAGCAGAAAAAAAAAACAGAAGAAAAAGACAAGAAAATACAAACAGAAAAAAAGAACAAAAGGAAAAATAAAACAAAAGTTCATATTATCGCGGGCATCATCGAGCTATCGCGAGTTTAACAATCGCGGCATCGTTTTTACATTTCATTAAAAATTCCAAAGCATAAGAGCAGGCATCCCTGCCGGGACCATAAAAATAACGAATCATTTTCTTGGCTTCGAGAGTAACTTTCTTAGTTACTCTCGGAGATAAAGAAGAGTTACTCTCGAATAATTAAAGAAAGACGAACGAGTCCTCTTCGGCGACGGCTTAGAGTACAAAAGGAGCCTACGGTTCGGATCGACTCTCCCTATCCTCTCCCATCCTCTCGTCAGCACTTGCTCATTCACTCATTCACTCGCTCATTGAATCATTCAGTTACTCCAACCTCTCGCCCTTGTCTCTACATCCATTCTTCCACGAGTATTTATTTATAACGCACGCAAACGTTACTTTTTACCTGCCCCTCCTCCTCCTCCTCCTCTTCCTCTTCCTCCTCCCACTCTGCTCCCATACTCCTCGCCAGGTATTTATTCACGCTTAGTCATTAGATCGGCGAGATCGGCGCGATCTCGGCGTGTCAAACGGTTTCGACAGCGCGCGTTTCCCGCGACTGATGTCGATCGCAGCCGCGTCGCTTCGTCGCGGCTTTCGGAGACCGATTCTCGCATCGGTAACGGGCGAGATCGGCTCACGACGTCGCCCCGATGTTCGGATACGCGGCATTTGACGAAATCTACGTCACGATTTAGAACGCCGCCGACTCGCCGTAGATCTCCGCGGACGAACGAGGGTGGCGGCTCGATGCACCTCTTTTGTCCACATTAACGTAGTAATAAGACGCCATTAAGACGAGCAGAAAAAAGTAGAAATGGCAGTAAGTTACAAGCGAGAAAAAAAATATATGTATGCGTGTGTGGATTTGTGTGCATATAGATGTTTACTCATCACAGATGACTGTGCATAAGCGTACGTTCGCCATGTGTGTGTGTGTGTGTGTGTGTGTGTGTGTGTGAGCGTATGCGTATGTGTATGCGCGCGCGTGCGCGCGTGTATTTAATGATATATAGCTGGTCGACGAGAGACGAATCGCGTGCCTATCGAGACGAGAAGGCGAGAGAGGACTGCCCTCGCACCCGAGACCACCCGGTTTTGATATCGCCGCGGCGTCAGCGTTTTCTCTAGCGCGCGCGCGCGCGCGCGCACGCGAATGCGGACGTGCTTTTCTAGCGACGCGAGAGCGGGTCGTGGTTCGACATCGGCCGCGATCGGCCAGCACGAAACGGCCGAACCGGACCGGGCCTCTCTCGAGGGGCCTCCTGAGAAAACGATTTTCGTGAAAGTCACCGACAGATTCCGTTGCGACATTCGCCATCCGGCGCGGCGCGACGACGACGAACGCGCGCGCGCGCGCGCGCGGCGACGAGCGTTCGGTAACAACATGGATCATCGATATCGATATCGATCGGGAACACGGCTCGGGTGTGAGTGCGGGTAAAGGCTGTGAATCTAAGACATCCGGGATGCACGGTCGACGATTCATTGTGACGTCGTGCAATCCGATTTCCCAAAGGTATCCCAGGCTGTGCATCCTAGAAGAAGCGAGAGGAGCGCAAGGCGGCGGCGCCGATCCCGTCCGCGAGACGCAGGAGCTCGACGTCTGAGACGTCTGGAAACGGACGTCTGATAAAACGTGCCTTACCTTTTTAGAGCTCAAACAACCGATGATGCGCTTTCGCTCTCGTCACACACGGGATTGACGGCGCGCGCGCGCGCGCGCACGCGCGCGAGCGTCAAGCTCCACCGTTAGAATACCAGGTAGGATCTTGACTGGTCCTGTCGCAACGAGTTGTACCGATTCGAAGTACCACATTGTGTTCACGTCGACATAAATTGTTTTTTTTCTATAAATAAAAATGTTTTTCAGTTAAGAAAATTGTGCACGATCCCGGCGCGGTCGATCTTTCTTTCAGCTTTCCCGCCCTCCCCAGTTGGCGGGATTATTCGCCGACTTTCCACTCGAGATTGCCGTCATCGTCGCTGCGTCGCAGGCATGACGGAAAAAGACCCTGGAAAAGATGCGCAACGACGACACACTGTCGCGTTGACAAAGCCGCAGGTTAAATTCTTTCCTTCTCACTCGTCGCGCTGCGGCGGTCTCGTCTCGCAGAGATCGGCAAGATTCCCGACACTACACTTTTCCACTCGTTGTCGTCCTTTCGCAATCCCACAAGACGCTAATCTTTTTCTCTCTCTCTCTCTCTCTCTCTCCATACCATATGCTTATACGCCACATGAGAGCTTCGCGAAGGCTCGTTACGAAGTCGAGTGCTCAAACGATCCATATCGATTCCACGGTGGCGGAGTGTTCCAGGGAATCGAATTCTCTTTGTTCAGCGATCGTTCTCGCGAAAAATCCTCTGGAAACTGCAGTCACACGAAAACCGGATCTTTCAAGACGAGCGAAAAGGAAAGGAAAGGAAAGGAAAAAAGAAACAAAGGAGAGAAAAACGAGAGACTTCTGGTTCTCCGACTGCACCATCGGCCTTCGACTCTGATCTTTGATCGCACGCGCATATGTTCGTCCCTTCCTGCGTCGTCGCTTGATTCTCCGAGAAGCCTATGAAAGAGGACCTAGCTTTCTCTTCTAGTGTGGCCCGCTCGGTCTCGCATTTTTGATAGGACACTTGTTTCTTTCTTTCTCTTTCTCTCTCTCTCTCTCTCTCTCTCTCTCTCTTAATTTCTATAGTCGGACGTTCTAGGATGCTGTGTCCAAAAATAGCCATATACACCTAAGATCCCGCTGGATTACGAAAAAGGTGATAATCGAGCCAAATTAATGCCACGAAAGAGGCTCGACTCGGGTCTTTCGTTAGAACTTGCGTCCTGGTGAGATTGAATACAGTGCGGATCTCCACTACGCTGTGTGGTGCATTAATTAATAAATTAGAATAAGCAATTTGGATCGCTGTATTCGTGTCGCGGTTGTCTTTCGTCTGTCGCTGTCCACGAGACGTTTTACTTCCAAAGAATCTCGGTGAGAGAACCGTCTCAAGGAAATCCTTCTCTCCTCCCCCCCTCTCTCTCTCTCTCTAACTAACGGATATCTTCTACCATACTTCAAGCTATTGTTAACGTTTTCTTATGTATCTAAGCTTTCTTTCGGCGATATTTCGGACGCCGACAGACGGAGAGAAAAAATCAAGCGATCAAAGGGATTATTCTCAGATATCGGCCCATCCATTGGCAACAACCGGTATAAGCGACGACGTTGCAGCAAAGTAAAATTCATGAGGTAGCGCGGCGACTCGTGCACAGCACCGGGACACTCGACTCGCGCTTCGCGCGCGCGCGCTTACATAAGAGAAACTCGCGCGTCCTGGGTTTCTAACGAAATATCGTCGCCGGGTACATTACGCCGCATAAGGTTAATGACACGAAAGTCAAGTGGCCCCAAACCGCACGCAAGTTACGTAAGGTCAGCTCGGCCGGCCGCCGCTGCGATCCCGGGGACGTACATTGATAATGGCGCGTTTCCTGCAATATCGTGCGCACGTGAAAAATGTGCAGGTATCACAGGTGTGTTGCGCCACATGTGCCGCATTCGCGACACGCGTGTTCCTCTCTTGCTCTTGAACCGAACGGTTCCTTTCTTCTTCTTCTTCTTCCTTCCTTCCTTCCTTCCTTCCTTTCTTCCTTCCTTTCTTCCTTCCTCCCTTCTTTCTTTTCTCGCTCTTTATTTTCCGGGTGCTTTGATACATAACTTGGTGGTTTCTGCTTTTTTTCGCCGAAGTATAGTCGGTCGAGCGCCACCTGGCCGGCCGCACGTAGCAACGAAAAGAGTGAAGAAAGTTTGAAGAACCGTTGCTGCTTCCGAAGGTTCGCTTGAGGAGGTAGGAAGAGGCGTTTCTTATTTTCTTTCTTTCTTCTTTTCGTTCTTTTTTCTCTTCTCCACTGCCTGGCACACAAAGTTGAAAGTATGCTGATAGAGCGGCTTCACATGCGCCCGGGACGTGTTCCTCGATCTTTCTCCCGATGGAAATTGGCCGTAATGATTTGGTGCCGTGGCCGGAGAAATATTTCGAGCCAATCGCTTGCGGTTCGTCACATCCGTCGATTTGCGCGTTTCACGCGGGCTCGCTGCGCCTCTGCAATGGGGCTTACGCTCGCTGCTGTCGCTTAATTATTCCGCCGTTAACGCGCAAAAGAAGCTCTCCTCGGTTTTATCGCGCGATGAAACTAACAATCGAGCGAGGCGCCGAGGGGAAGCGAGCTGTAAAAGACCGCTGATTTATGAGCGAATTTTACGTCAGTTATGTAAGCTTGCGTGTCGTGCATCATGCTGTCGAGCGAAACGACGTTAAAACGCGTTAAAATGCACGAGTGGATTAGCGCGAATGACAAAAGAGCAGGAAGAGACCTTGGAATGCGTGCATCGCTCATCCTGAAGCCTCGACCTTTTCAGCCGCCGAGAAGCTTAGGCTGTTTTCTCCGCACTGCTTTTTGCTGTCTCTCGATCATTCGTAGGAAGAAACGCATCCAAATTCAGCGTTGAGTGAACGGTGCGCGTCTACAGTTCAGCCAAGGCCGCTACATTGTGTGTGAAAAAGAGAGAGAGTAAAGAGAGAGAGAGAGAGAGAGAGAGAGAGAGAGAGAGAGAGAGAGAGAGAGAGAGAGAGAGAGACGTGTTGCATAACTTTAGCGGAATCTCGCGAATCTCCGATGCAAGACGCACGAGGAGAGCAGGAGCAGAGCCCGGGAGAGCGACGCGAGGCGAAACGGAAGATAGTTTACGTAAAATATCATTTCCCGAAGCGTAATCGCGGCTGGCATTTTAACGGCTTTTGCGTCTCCGTATCGGGTATCGCGCGACGGCGAAAACGCGAACCAGCGCTCTTCGCGAATATAAGATACGAGCGCGAGCGCGGATTGGATCCTCTCCGTTTCCACAGGGTGGATATCCTGTTCGCCCCGGGACATGCGCGATCGCGCGACATTGTGCGCTTTCTTTCGAAAAATGCGAAGCGCGCATCGATTGTTAATATCGCAGGGACGGGACGGCTGTCGTAAACATCTTCTCAGTATTTTTTTTAATACAGATTCTTGTACAATGCGAAAGCGTATATATGCTTGGGTGTGTGTGTGTGTGTGTGTGTGTGTGTGCGCGCGCACGCGCACATACGCGCAATATGTCACACATACACGTGTGCGAAAGCACGGACGCGGGTGAATCTACTGCCGCGCCGTAAAAAGCAGTCGATGCGGCTTCGGCACCAGGGTGATGCCGCACTCGCCGTCGAGGTCGACGTGCGTGTCGGGCGGCATCGAGATGACGAACGTATGGAGGATTCTCGCAGCGAACAGGAACAGTATCATCCTGGCCAGCTCGTCGCCGACGCACATGCGTTTACCTGCGAGCATCGTAACGACATACATTGAGAGACGAGACATGCTGTGTGCGCCTCTGTGTGATCTTTCCTCTCTTCGGGCGGATTCACAATGGCTTTTCTGCTTGGCAGAAAAGCAGAAAGCAGAAAGGCAACGTTCAGTCAAAAGTCGCGCTGATAAGTCTGTGTCTCTCTCTCTCTCTCTCTCTCTCTCTCTCTCTCTCTCTCTCTCTCTTTCTCCGTCACTCTTTTGGCTCCTGCTATTCTGTTTTCTACTCTTCTGCCGGGCTGTTAATCTGCACCCGTTCTTTTTTTCCTTACCTTTATCCAGATTTTTCGCGCGTGCGCTCAACACTCACCCGTTTGAAAAGGCAAAAAGGCTTCCGGCCTGGCGAGACTCCCATCTTGCGCGATAAATCTCTCGAGTTTAAAGGAGAGCGGCTCATGCCAGTAAGAAGGATCCGTGTGAATAGCCCATTGCAACGGAATAACCATACTGCCTTTCGGTACATCGTAGTCGCCTATTTGGGTGTCCTAAATGCGCCAAGCATGTTTCTCGAGTTTATCTCGGTTCTTATTCTTATTTACTTGCGCGCGAGCGTGCGAGAGTTAAAGATGATTCATCGGCAACGCGACGGGGGGGACCTTCGTGAATATTACGCTCGAATAATCACACTCGATAATTAATCGAATACGCGGCTATTACATCGCACTATACTATACGCTAATGATGCGTCACTGCAGGCTTGGCCAGCTCACGGAAATGCGTAGAAACGAGTCAGGCGCTGCGGCGAAGAAAAAAAGAGACTAGGCACGTACTGAAGGAACACATTGTTGTCATCTCGTTAAGTCCGACAGATGTTGCTGACGATTACCTGAATTGTTCCATGAGGGATGCCAACCGGTGTAACGCTTCGCAGCCTTTGCGTCTCTGAAATGGCGGCTTCCAGTCGAATTAAAACGGTCCTATCTGCCAAACAAGGCTGCCTTTGTCCCATCAGATGTCCCATCAGTTCGTCCGACACTTTTCTCTGCACAACCGCAAATGAATGTCAGAAAAATGTGCGGCTTTTCCGGGCTACGAGGGCTTTGCTGCTCTCACGAGAAGCGAATTCTACGGGATAACGCGACTAATGGAGTATTTCATTACTTGCTCGTCCGGGTAAACCGCCATGAAGAGCAGGAACCAACGAAGAGTCGTCAGAGTGGTGTCGACGCCGGCGCCGAAGATGTCGCTCAACAGATGATGAAACTGCGGCCGAGTGAAGTACCCAGCGTCGCCCGCGTCGGTCTTGTTCCTCATCTCCTTGTCGAAAGCCGCGAGGAAGCTGTCCGTCTTGTTGGGTCGCGCACGGTGCTCGTCGATGATTGTTTGGTAGAAGCGATGCGACTTCAACTTGCCGTCAATTAGCGACTCCATCATTTTGCCGTAGCGTGGTAAAAATCTACGTGGTAGGACAGAGAGATCGGAGCAACTCGCCTTCACAATGACGAAACCTCTGCTCTGAGAATGTTTCGTCGACCTGGTCTTGCCTCGACCCGAGTCAACGAGTCCTCGACAACGAGATTCTCCCCCGCGTTACCTTCCCCGCTTTATGAAGATTTACATTTCCCGACGCAACTCGATTTCGATATCGCGTCATTCGTCGGCCGCTTCCGATGGGAAACGCAGTATTTGCAGGGACAGTCAAACGCTCTAAGTGAATCATCCCGGCATCATCGACGTGTTAATTAGTCGTGCGAATCAATTTGCTCGGCGTTTTCCACGCCGCCCGGCGTAACGCGCTTTACCTTTCGTTAGCGAGCAGCGTTAGCGATCGCGCGCGCTCTGCAAACGCTCTGCGACTCCGCCGACTCCTCGAGGGATCTGCGTCAGGGATGTAGCGTCTTACCTGAGGAACGGCAGAAAATTCAACGGCCCGGCGACCCCGATGTGCTTGACTCCCTCCTCCTGCAAGTGCCGCAGCCACCTCCACGTCTCGTCGTCTTCCTCGTAAATTTTGCCAAACACGAGATCGTTCATCAAGTTGCCCATACAGTGATGAAGCGTCTCCAGCGGGTCGATACCGCCGTCCGCCATGCGGCTACTTAGTTTCTGAGGCAGCAACAAAGGGATATTCCTGCAGCACATCCGCTTTACTCGCTGATCGCGGGAATTCGCGCCGGGCCGACGGCGCGCAACGACGGCGTTATCGAGCAGAGAGACCCGTTCCTTTCACGCGATAATTGTCCCCGTGTTTAAATTGTCGTGACGAACCGGCGTCGAAATGCCACGGAAATTGATAGCTTCATTAAATGCGATGACATTTCCAGGAGGATAATCAGCCGCACCGTAACACGGAGAAATTCGCGCGTGCGACTTTATTATTCGCGGCGCGAACATTCCTCGCGGGAATATATTCGATCATCGATATATGCAGTTTTTTTTTTTTTTTTCTTTCTCTCAAGGGGCGGGAGATTTAGTGACACGGCGGCCTCGCGTGAGATATTCCTAGCCGACGATATATACCGATAAGCATTCGTTCACGACCGCGAGGATCCTCTCCTCCATCTTGTCCCTCCTGAAGCCGAACTTCACCATGCCGAGATTCCTCAGGCATCCGGCTGCGAACCTCCTTTGATCCTTCCAGAGGTCACCTTCGGCGCAAATGAGGCCTGCGGAGTGCACAAGGGAACGCGGGTGAGAAGCTCGCGCTCGAATTTTTCTTCTCTCTCTCTCTCTCTCTCTCTCTCTCTCTCTCTCTCTCTTTTATTTATTTTCTTTTTCGGCAAGGCGATTCTCTCGTCGCGCCTTAATCGCCCGGCCATAAATAAACCGCCACCCGAACGCGCCTCGGTCGCGCTCCCTCCTGCGTAGAATCGAGCAGCGCCTGGTGGGAGGGTATAAAAAATAGCGAGAGGATTACCGTCATTCCGTAAGTAGGCGCAGCCACTGAACTCGCCGAAGGATAATCCTCCGATGAATAAACAATAATCTCTCACCGCACCCACTCACCGTTCGTCCTGCGCGAGCGCGCGCGTGTTCGCGAGATAATCCAGGCACGGCGATCGTCGATTAATAGCGATCGTGATCGTTGATTAAAGATGACGATAGCGATCGAGCGATAGCTCATCCCCGTTGACGACGCACCGCGGCCGCTGGGTACCTTCTACTTCGTTAAACGCTCGGTCTGTTTATCGTTGTCGCCCTCGTCGAGGCTGCGCCCTCCACACCCGCTTTCCTTGCTCCTTCCGTCCAGCCTGAACCTAAGCTCGTGATTTTCAATCTAACGCGCCGAAAGATCGGCTGAATGAACGCGGCGACGACACGATGAAATGCGTGCCTCGCTGTCAAAACGACAGATTTTCGTGGGAAAAAAAAAAAAAAAAAAAGATATATTATGCAAGGACAAAAATGCTGATCTGTTTCTTCGACTGATTTTCTTCACTGCAGCTACGAAATTACACGCGAATCGTGTAAATTTGAGCGAATCTCACGAGAAATTATGAGAAACGAGACAAATCACATTCCGCCGCGTTAATTCGACCAGCAGCACCCTCTCGCCGGCGCGCCGCGCGGGAAACGCGAGGGAGAAAAGCAGATCCGTCGGCGACGACTGCCCGATGACATCGCGGCACCGTTGTTGTTGTAGCGGAAGAAGAAACGGCTGGGCATATATCGACGAAGAAGCCGCCGACGAGGGTCGTCGGTATTTACCAGTCCGCCGGTGCGATGCAATCGGACAAATATTTGCCCGGTCGCACCTACGTGCGAGGCACCTTCGCGGTGGCAGCGGTGATATAACGATAACGAACGAGCGGCGGCCTCGCTGGAAGAGAAGCCGAGCGATGCCCGCCGCGCCGCCGAGTGCGAGGCGGACGGCAGATGGAAAACTTCGCGAGCGGAGCTTGCGCGAGCGCGAGGAGGTGCGCCGCTCGCTCGCTCGCTCGCTCGCTCGCTCGTGCATCTACTTCGCCAATTTCGCAGCCAGATCACACGCGAGCGCGTCGCCGAGCGCGAGAATGATCTCGGAATCCTGATTATCGCTCAGTGAGATTATCGAGGTCGGCGTGCCGCGGGAATACAGATTGCGATCTCCGTCGCGACGCGGCCCGACGCCGGCCGGACTGCGCACTTGCCGCCTTTCTTTTCTTCTCCCCTCTGGTCCGTTTACCCCGGACTCCCGTCTCTCTCCGCGAATTTGTGGAATCCGTGTCCGGGAATTGCGTTCCCGAAGGCGCCCGAAGGAGAGCGGGAGTGCGACGAAAGTCCGCGCCGGCACACAAATAGGTTAGCACGTTAGCCGTTGTGCTCGCGACGCTGCTTATCATTCACGGCCTGTCCCGAAAGGCAGCGCGCGCTGCCGATAGGTCAGTGTCGTATTTAAATGGCGAGCCAAAAAACTTTCCGGGATCGCGGCTACACTCGCGGAGTCGTGCCCGCCCGAAGATGAAATCTCGCGACGCGATGGTCGAACTTTCGAACCTTGAGTGCCTCTGCATTGTACACCCCCGAGTACCCGACACCCACCTCCGCTCAATGACGCGCGAACGTCACGCGCTGCTGTCGCCTCGGTGTCTTTGCGACTCGGGGAATTTCGTGCCGGAGGGGGGCTGTGTGATTGAAACGAATGCGATTGTCTCCGTCTCCGTCCTCTCTCGTCTCCAGGACGCGGAGATAACATGCATCGATTGTTCCGATGATGAAAGCGCGATGAATCACGGGCATTATTACGCGAATTAAGACGGAGATACAGAGAGAGAGAGAGAGAGAGAGAGAGAGAGAGAGAGAGAGAGAGAGAGAGAGAGAGAGAGAGAGGAGGAGAAGAGAAGGCGCGCGCGCGCACACGGCGGCGGCGCGAAGCGAGAACGTCTTGTTATTCCGCGGCCGTAACGCTGAATAATTCCCCGCGACTTCGCGGCCCGCGCTCGGAGTGCTTCTTCAACTTTGCGATGCATCCGCGCGCGATGCTGACGCGATGCGCGCGGCTACGGACAATGAGCTCTCCTTGCCGGCCGATCCTTACGCAACTAAACACCCCGCCGCGGTGATTTCAGGAGATGACATCACACTCGGGCTCGGACTCGGCGAGGAGGCGCGCCCGCACGAATTCGCGAACCGCCAGAAATAAACCGGACGGGAGACGGATAATGCATATATGCGTCCGAACGTTTCAGGGCCGGTCATTCCACCTCGGCCGGTAAAAAGCCCATGAATGCAGCGCGAGAAGAAGAAGGAGAGACACGCCGAGATAGCCAGCCGTCCCGTCCAAATACAGCCGGCCGGCTGATCGGATCGATCTCGCGCGTTTCACGCCGCGGCGTTCGATCGCCCGAGAGATTCGTTTCCATATTGCTGGACTAGTGCGCTCTCTCTCTCTCTCTCTCTCTCTCTCTCTCTCTCTCTTTCTCGGGGCCCAGAAGGAGATGGATGCGCAGCTTGATCGGAAAAGCAAGACGCAAGATATGACGATCGCGCGGAATCGCGACTATCACGCGGGGGGATTTTCGACGAAACTCAGGCTCTTGGGGAAATCCCTTCGCTGCATCGAACCGTCGCAACGTCGTGATCGTCCAACAGCTGATCGGGCGCTCAATTCGAGTAACTTTCCGCTCCACAGGCTCTGAGCTAATGAGAATGCGTTCGACGATCGTTCACGGTAATGACTGCGTTCTAATGACTGCGTGATCGAGCGGCAATGATCCGAGAATCGTATTCTTAAGATAATCGGGATCTAACGTTGGCGGCTGTTGCATTATCAGGAAAAATATGCCCGTCTCAGGGAAATGAATTTTTTCAGAACTCTTCGAGTTCCCCAAGTCAGACGGTCACCTCGGCAAAGTTTCACAGTCGGATCTGAGAAACGGAACGGAACTCTGTCAAAAGCACCGTCGCCGGCGACTTTTCGTCGAGGGCGCTCGGGGGTCTCGATTAATTGCGCCAACTCGAGAGAACTGGAGGACTCCGGGAGATCATCGACGACCTACGGGCGCACAGGTCGTGACAGGTCGCCGATGTGAACGCCGGTCGTCCGTGCAGCGCTCTGTCGCTCTTAATGGGAGAGGCCGTCGGCCCGTCCTTGCAGAGCTAACTGTAATTCCCCGCAGATGCAGAGCAGAACCGTCGACGACCGGGGGAGAACTTCCTTCAAGGAGACCGATAAAAGTGAGAGTCCTTCGTATTGGTGCGAGTCGCGGCCGGTTCCCGGCTCGTTCTGACGTACCTAACCTACCCAATCGCGGATGAACCGTTCGTTACGAAAACGGGAAAAAGAATGACGGAGCCCGCGGGAGGAGCCGCGCGCGCTCGTCAAACTCGCTTCGTCAATCGCTCGTTCGTGTCGCAATCCCGAGCGCGGATGAGCAATTTATTCGACGCTTGTTGTTGAAGTCGCTCGTTTGAGAGAGAGAGATAAGATGCAAAGGTCGGATTCCATCTCGTATTCCGTTCGTCCTTTTTTGCCGAGAATTATGTTTCCCAAAGTGTCGATTCGTTTGCAGAAGCTTACGATCGATCTCGCGGCAATTCTCGTTTGCCCGAAACACGTTTCCAGACGTTTGCGAGTTTCCAGACGTGAGCAAACTGATTTTTAGACCGAACGTAACGAATCGCCTGCGCGTCGTAGTTGCAAATGTAATCGCGATGCGCCGGTAATTACGTAAAATGAAAGAGAAAGAGAGAGAGAGAGAGAGAGAGAGAGAGAGAGATACGCACAACAAGTTCGTCGGCGTCAAGGGTACTGCGTGGCGAGCACGATCGCCGTGAGGGAAAAAATGAAATTCCACCCACACCCAGCCGCGCTCGAAGGAGGAAAACAAGCCGTCAGGAAAATCGCGGACATCTTACGTCAGTGTTACGCGTTTGTAATACGCCAAACGGGAATAGTCGCCTGGGAGCTCGCTTGTAATATTGATTTTACACGCGCGCGCGCCTGACTGCATCGCGTTGAGTCAGTGCTGTGGTATGCCGAGTCTGATTACCGATTGGAACCGCGACTTTCCTACAACGATGTAGATCATCACGTCTGCTGCTTGCCTTTTTCGAAGTCGCATAAAAAGACTCTACGTGGAGCGCAATTAAATTGAAAATCTGCCGAGCCGCGACGCCGTGTCCTCCGCGTGTATCCCACTTTTATTTCATCGACAGATACAGCGGAGTGTAAAAATCCGACGAGATTGGTATTTTTAGACTCGCTCGAGTCGTCACCTCTGTGTGTGTGTGTGTGTGTGTGTGTCTCGTCCGCGTTTCTCTCGAAATCTCTCCGAGAAACAACAACAACAACAACAACAACAACAGCGCACTCGGCGTCGCTGTATGCGGTGCAAGCGGCTGCAGCAGCGATGACCATCTAAACCACGTCGTCGAAAAGCCGAGGTGCGTCCTCGTCAAGGGACACGCGCGATCGAGTTAAGTGCGAATCGCGCGCGCGCGCGCGCGCGCGCACGCGCGAACACACGTCCGATGTTATAAAAGCGAATCGTGACACCGCGTGGCGGCGAGCGGTCGTTTCTTTTATCGGCCGAAATTAGCGCCGACGGTGCCGTCCGTGTTGTAGCACAGCGCGACGGCATCAAGGACGTCAAGAATTTCAGGTTTCGTCGACCCGCTTAAAGGCCAACGCCGTCGCGTCCAGACACTTTTGATGATCACCGCGATGCAGGTCGATGCACCGCGC